TCTCCAATGGGGGGCAGCCACACATGACAGGCAGAACAGGCGGCATTTACACCCAAGGGGCAACAGCATCACCAGGTCTCTGCAGCCCCACCCAAACCCATACCCCAAGAGGCTATGAAGCCATCCCAAATAGCTGTGAAGGAAGCTGTCAGGAACCCCAGAATAAAGTACTGACTGTCAAGAAACAGAGGTTGAAGATAAGGACCTGGCCAATAAGATCCAAAAATAGAAGTTGGCCAGGCGTGGTGACTCACTCCTGTAATCCCAGCACTTTGGGAGGCTGAGGTGAGAAGGTGGCCTGAGCCCAGCCTGAGCAACATAGCAAGACCTCATTTCTACAAAAAAATTAAAAAATTAGCCAGGCATGGGGGTATGCACCTGTAGTCCCAGCTATTCTGGAGGCAGAGGGGGAAAGATTGCCTGAGCCCAAGAGGTTAAGACTATGGCAAGTTGCGCTTGTGCCACTGCACTCTAGCCTGAGTGACAGAGTGAGACTCCGATTCAAAAAAAGTAGTTGGAGCCAGGGATGGTGAGGAAGAACAGGTGGATGGGTAAACTACTCACACTGAGCAGGAAAGGCTTGAGCCTCCTGCTGCAAGGGGCAGACACTCCCAGGAACCAGGGAGGTTGGTGGAGTCCCAGGGACTTGCTGGTTGGCCACCAGGAAAGGGGAACTCCTGCTTGAAGGAGCTGTGTTGGGGAGGCTATGAGGTACACCAGGCAGCATCCTGGAGCAAAGGCCTCGGATGGAGGAGTGAGCACTACTGTGGGTCCTTGAAGACAGGGTCGGATAGGGACTAGTGCCTCCAAGAGTGGGCTCACCCCAAGGCTGCCTCTGGCCCTCAAGACTGAAGCTGGGCTTCCACCCAGGGGCCTTCTCTCTTCAACACAGGCAACCATGACCTTCTCAAAGGCAGTGAGACATGGTAAAAATACCACCGAAGGGATAAATTACCCAGCAAATAGAGCTTTCCCTGGCCTCAGGGGAGGGGGTGAAGGAATTAGGCCAGAGACAGGGAGACCAGTTCAGGGACTCTGACCCCCAGCCCGGGAGACCACGAGGGGGATGGGGAGGAGCCACAGGCCTAGAAAGAATGACCCCCTCCATAGACCATTCCCAAAACACACAAGGGAACAGGCTCAGAGTGGTGAAGCGTGGTCTGGTGACGCTGTCAGAAAGCAGTTGTCCCAGGATTCAAGCACAGTCTGACTGTGGCCTGGACTGCCCACTCCCTGCTGTGTAGGCATGCACACAGGTGAAAAGCTCAGGGCTCGGGGACCCTTCTTAACCCTGCCCAGAGACTAGCTGTATGGCCTAAGGAATGAGGCTGGTACCTGGTTGGGCTCAGAGGGGACACAGCTGCTCTTCTGCCACTGCAGGAAGAGGCCCTGAACCCGGTTGCAGGCTCAGCAGTCTGTGTCTCCCTGCTGCAGGGCAAAGGCAGGAGAAGCAGGAAGAAGCTAGGGCAGACAGCCACAGAGCTGTCAGCATGACTCAGCACTTCCATGGGCCACCAGGTCAGGGAGGACGCCCTGCTTCCCCACCCACCTTGTGCTTCTCTTCTGTGGCCTCCACCAGGCCGAGTTCCCTGGCCAGAAGGACAAGGCCTCAGGGCCCAACTTCAAAGGTCTTTTTGGACCCAGGCTTTTCTGAAACAGGTCCTATCCCCAAGCTTGTCTTCTCCTCTGCAGGTTGCAAGGGGGCTGAGATGCTGGAGGGGCTCTGGTCTGGCACACTGAATCCTGAAAAGGACCATCTGATGGGGCTAAGCCAGAGGCCTGTAGGGAACTGAACTTCCCTAGAAGAGGATTCCAGGGAAGTAGACTGGCTGCCGTCCCAGGTCCACACTTACTTCCAGGGAAGCCGGGTTAGGGCGAGGAGTAGAGTCTCAGCATGGCTTTCAGCTTCGAGACCAGGACAAGGCTGGCCTACAGGGTTGACAGCCTTAGGTCAGGAGGGCATCTTGAGGTCCCAAGGGGATGCCAGAAAAGGGGATGTGAACAGGAAAGGAGGCCTATAGGAACCCGGGCTAACCCTGAGGCTTTGTATTGCTGAGTTGTGAGATTTAGGTGGGGGGACTGCAAGTGTCCAGTCATAAACCAACTTGAAGAGAGGGGACCCTAAAAAGAAGGTCACTATTTGTGGCAGAACTGTTTAGAAACTGTACATGTCCAACAACAGAGGATTGGCTAGATGGGTCACAGCATATCCATAGCATACAGCATTATGCAATCATCAAAACCAACTCTTCAGTCAGCATTGGGAGAAAATGATCATGATAAGCTTTGGGTTTTTTTTGAGTTGGGGTCTCACTCTATCACCCAGGCTGGAGTGCAGTGGCATGATCATGGCTCACCACAGCAGCCTTGGCCTCGTAGGCTCAGGAAATCCTTCCATCTCAGCCTCCGGAGTAGTTGGAACTTCAGGCATAACACCACCATGTCCGGCTAATTTTTTAATTTTTTTGTGGAGATGAGGTCTTGCTATGTTGTTCAGGCTGGTCTCAAACTCCTGGGCTCAAACAGTCCTCCAGCCTTGGCCTCTCAAAGTGCTGCATTACAGGCATGAGTCACCAAGCTCAGCAAGTCACAAAGTTTTTAATATACAGTTTGTAAGTATTTTTTATAACATGGAAAAAACATATTACTAGATTTAAATCGGGGAGAGAGGGAGGGATGGTAAGAATAAGGCGAATGGTCATTTATTTTTAATACCATTCTGCACTTTTCAAGTGAGATGCCAGGGAGAAATGGTGAGGAGCTTCGCCTGGTCCACTCTATCAGGAGGCTCCCTGGTTGCCTGGCCTGGCCTGATAATCCCTCATGCCCTGGGCCCCTCTCCCAGGTACAGTCTGAGGGCCTAGGCTTCTGCCAACCTTGGCCTCAAGCCACCTTGGCCTCTGGGAGCCCAGCTAACTCCTTCTCCCTACAATGACTTGTTCTATTATGTTAGGGTCAGGAAGTGGCCCTTCATAGGGAATTACTTCAAGCAACTGTAGGGAATAATTAACTCACAGCTCTGGTTCTGTGCCAGAGAAAATGCTCTTAAACATACATCCCATTCTTTGTGACTCTCTCTCTTCATGGTGAATCATTTCTGGGTGTAGCTGAGCCTGCCCTAACGCTCAGCCACGGACTGAAAGCAAACTGTGCTATCGGGTGATGCTGGTCTGAGGGACCTGGAATGGCTGTGAGGCCTCTCTTGGAAAGTTGGTCCCCAGGAAGGGCCTGCACACAGAAAGTGCTCCCTGCAGCCTTCTGTCCTTGGAGGGCCTGCCCAGTCATCCCTCACTCACTCCCGCTCAGCGGCCAGCCCCGTGACAGCCCTGACCATGAGTACTATGGCCCTGTCAGGCTCTCATGAGGGAGTCTGGTCAGGTCCCTTGACTCCTCTGAGTCTGTTTCCTCATTTGAAAGGGGGCTGTCATGGCACCAGCCTCAGCAGGTCTTTGGACAAAACACATGTCACACACACATGTTACTCAGCCTCAGCCAGGCAGGAGGAGGTATCTGGTGGGGTTGGTGGTGAAAGCTGGGCTGCCCAGGACCCCTCCCCAAAATCACAGGGTGGGTGGGTAACAGACTGTTACCTGGCCTTGTCGAAGTACTTGCCAGTGTAGGCCATCCCGCAAGCGGCTCCAAGACCCTGGCCCAGGGAGCCAGTGGCCACGTCAGTGAAAGCTTGTTTCTGTCGTAACAGAAGGGCACAGTTGGGCACAGTTAAGCACAGGGGAGAGGGATCCTGGCCTGACTACCAAGGGAGCGACACTCCCATTTAGACCTGGCCAGCTCCTCCCCTGCAGAAGACCTGGCCCCAGGGTGGCCTGCACTTAGGGTGTTTATGATTCTCACACGATAGGTTCAAATCCCAGCCCTGCCCACTGGTGAGCTTTGTGGCCTTGGGCTGGGGACTGAACCTCTCTGAGCTTTAGTTCCCACATCTCCTACCTCATAAAGTGGCTGGGAGGGAGAACTCATGACAAAATCGACATCAAGCATTTCGCCCGAGTGAGTACTCAGACCACAGTGACAGTTTTTGTGGTAACCCATGGACTCCAAACATTTGCAGATGCCAGCTGGCATTCCAAAGAGGAAACCGGTCCCCTTCCCTGGGGCATCACCAGTATCTTGCTGTCACCTCCTTATCAATTCTTCTTTCTTCCTGAGCTATATCTAGCTAGCTAGGGGGACCCAGCAGGGAAGGGAAGTTTGGGGAAAGGCCCTCCCCGAGTCAACCCAGAGCACCCTTGGCTAGGGCCTCGAAAGGCCTTGCCCTTTACTTATTTATTTATTTATTTATTGAAACAGAGCCTCACTCTGTTGCCCGGACTGGAGTGCAGTGGCATGACCACAGCTCATTACAACCTCAACCTCCTGGGCTCAGGTATGAGACCAGGCATGCACCACCTCGTCCGGCTAATTTTTTGTTTTTTATAGAGATAAGGTCTGGCTATGTTGCCTGTGTTGGTCTCAAACTCCTGGGCTCAAGCAATCCTTCTACCTTGGTCACCCAAAGTGTTGGGATTACGGATGTGAGCCATCATGCCTGGCCAGGCCTTACCCTTTAGCACAAGCTAGAGGTGAATACAATGTACCCCTAAAACACCTACTTCCTTTCTCACCTGAACACCTCTCAGTGGGCATCCCCTGCCCCCTCCCGCCTGCCTGGGAAACAGGAAGTAGGGCAGAGGACTGGGAGGCCATGGCAGGCATGCTTACCGGAACAGGATGCCCGTCTAAGTCGGAACTGATCTTCCTCAGGTTCAGAAGCTCTGCCTCGGGCAGGAAGCCGGCTTCCGCCCAGACTGCGTACAGGATGGGAGCTGCGTGGCCCTGCCAGGAGATAGACAGCAGAGGGAGAGGGTCAGATGGGGAACTGATAGACTCGGGGCTGCTCCCACCGCACACTGAACCCCAGTGCCTGGCCAAACTGGCCAGCTGGGGTATCCATTTCAGGGTAGAATGCAAATAAAGGCTACCCTCTCATCCCTCTCCAGCCTCTTGGTTTTCAGCCCAAAAATTACCATAGCCAAGGCCAGGCGGGCACTAAGACAGGTGCAGAAGACACAGCTGTGAGGCTACACGAGGCCAAAACCCCAGCAGGCAGCCGGCCGCCCTAATCCCTAGATTCTGGCATGTGAACAACTTGGCCAGACTTTTAAGCTCTAAAGCCTGTCCTGAGAGACCAGTGACTGCCAAAGCAGGCCTCGGTACAGGTGGATTTCAGGGGTCTGTGGCTGTGGTTCCCACTAGGAAGGGGCAGGACAAGATGCCTCCCATCCAGAACCCTGCTGCAGCACGCCACCGCTCAGGAGGGATCAGGCCAGGCCCCGGGAGTGCTGGCACAATACAGAAGATGTGGGCAGAGCGCCACTAACCCAGACCTAGATTCCATTGCTGTGGGTCGACACCCAGATTGGGCAGAACACCCAACGGGTCATTTTCATTGTCCCCTGCCTTACTCCCTTAACCAGCTGGGTCAGCACAGAGCAAGACGTTGAGGGAGGGATCAGGACAAGCAGGGAGCAGGCACCTGGGAAGGGGGTGCCAGAGCTGGGCTCAGAGACCACTCACTATTCCAAAGCCCAGGTGATACCAGCCTCAGGTGAAGGGTGGCTGGGAGGCGGGGGCAGCTGGGCTCTTACCTTAGAGAGCACAAAGCGGTCGTTGTGAGGGTTCCGGGGGTCCTGGGACTTGTAGCGCATGGTGTGGAAGAAGAGGACTGCCATGATCTCTGCAGCACTGCAGCATGATGTGGGGTGGCTATGGCCCAGGAGAGAAGAGGGACATATACACTGTGGTTCTGGACCTGAGCTACAACACTCACCTTGTCTAGGGACCTGAGGATGTGTGTCCCCAGGAGTCATACAGGCCTGGTTTATCACAGAGCCATATGCTCCTGCTCCCTGGGTGACACAGGGTCTCAAGAAGGCCATTGCTGGCAGCCTGGGGACTGGGCCAGCCAGTGAGTACCAGGGACTACCATCTCTTCCCAGGGGTAGCAGCTCAGAACCCCAGAATCAAGGCAACATTCTGGGGCTGGACTAAAGTAAAAAGGAAGGGGGACCCAGCCCGACACCAGCACCAAGGCTGGGGAGTGATTAATATTGAGGGGAACCCAGCTCATACCTTGTGGCTCCCAGCAGGAATCTGAGGGTTCAGCAGCTGAGGGGGATGATACCCCTACATCTGACCAGTAAGCCAATCCCAGTGGGACTGCCCAAGACTCTGCAGACTTGCGAGGGGCACTCTGCCCTCCCAGCCCTCAGGGGTGCTGGTCCTCTGAGGCCATGGAACAGAGGGTAAGGGACTGAGGCTTGTGAAGTGACCACAAACCTCCCAGGCAGCCTCCACATATGGGGCTTGGTAGCCTTAAAAGTTGGGCTTTGGGCTTTCCACGGGCATCACAGGGGCTACTGGCAGCTTTGTAAATGTGCATTCTGAGGGTTAGGGTAGCAACTTGGAACTAGGCTTTTATGCAGTATTAAAACACACATACACACAAACACATACACACCCAATCTCATTTCCACAAAGGCTACAATCATGTAAAAATAAAACCCCCTTCTGCCTATGGATGAGGCTAGGGTGGGGCTAACAAAAGCCAAGAACTTGCCCTTTCAACCTAGAGTGGAGGGGGTGAGGGGCCCCACCTTTTTAGATTCTTTTTTAAATAACTGAACAGCTACTGAGCAAAGGAACTAACAAAAGAAAGTACAAGGACTGCATCTTAGAGATGAGATTCATTCGGGTCTCTTAGGACCTGCTTGACTAATCCAGCCCTGCCCTGGAACAGGGCTACAGGCTGGGCTTCCTGCCCGGAGATGCTGCAAGTCCTGGTTAGCCCTGCCGCCCTGTCACGCAGAGCTGTTAAGAGCTCAGCCTGGGACACGCGCCTCCCAGCCTCCCCCGCCTCCCGGTCTCCCCCCACATGCAGCACAGCTCAGCCCTCTCACGCTGCTCTCTGAGGTCCTGCACGCTGGAACATGCTCGATGCCAAACCCAAGGGCACATGCACCATCTGGAGTTCACGCTGTCCTCCCCGCTCTGGTCAGCGCCCCCACTGGGTTAGGGGTGAGTCACTCCCAGTGCAGACAAGTTAGTAGAGAAACCCACAGAACGGTCCATGCTGGTTTAGTAGTCACACTCCCACACACGAATCTTATACTTAACCATCGCTATGCACTTCTGGTCATGGGGAAAAGACACTACCTGGAAGAGGGAGGGGAGGACACATCAACGAGAAGAATTTTTTCTGTCTGGCAGGGACCCTAATCCCTTGCTCCCGGCACCAGCTTCAACCGGAGGATGCCCGAGTCCACAGTCAGGCTGACCTTTTGCCCTTCTCATCTCCAAAGGCAGCCCTGTCCCTAAGGAACCTGTTTCAAAGGTCGTGGCCCCATCATGAGGAAGCCTTGGTGGGAAAAAGATGTGGAGGGATACCAGGCCAAACTGTTCTGAGACCCTAGGGCGACATTCCCACTGAGCCATCAGTGTGGCACAGGTTCTCTCTGCACATGGCAGAGGAGTACCCAGGCCCAGAAAGAGTAGATGTGGAGAGAGGAAGGCCATCCATGAGCAACACCACAAGGTGACAAGTAGAAACAGAAGCAGAGGCTCTCAAGCCTGCCTTCCAAAGCCCACGTCCAGCCAATTGCTGGCATGCTTTCCACACCTGCCAAGAGAACACACACAAAATAAGGCATCCCTGGGAGCCCAGCATCCTCCCCCCTCCTCCCTAGACCTCCAGGGTTCTCTCTTTGCAAAGTGTCCCAGGCAGGGGGGATGTGGGCTGTGATCCTTGAGCAGCTGGCTTAAGCAAGTGCTTCCTCTTCCCGTGGCTCTGCTTCTTCCCCACTTGTAAATGGGAATGCTGTATAGGCCTGTCCTGGAGACCCAGGGAAATAATGTGTGCCAAATGCCCAGGCCAACACCAGCCACCACACACTGGGGGACCAGCTGCCAGATCCCTCAGGGCCTCCAACTCCTCATCTGTGGGCAGGTCCTGTGAGCCACCCCACCATGCTGGCCACAGGCAGACAAGAAGGAAGAAGCTAAGGACCGAGATGGGGCCCTGAAAACTGGAAAGCACTGAGTTCACTTTCAGCTCAACCTACCAGAAGGTCTTTGGGGCCCAAAGCACGAATCTGTGGTCTTAGGGCCTGAGCTTTCCCTGCAATCACAGCCTGCCTGGGATGGACAACTTCAGGTGGAGGCCCCACCCCGTGCTGCTGTGTGTGACATGCCCGAGGATGAAACCTTGCAGGTGTCCCCATCCAGAACCCTGTGAGTTCTAGAGTGAGGGCTACAGGGTACTTACTGTACTACCTCAACTCGCATCTGTGATCAACAGGGGTTGCGAGCAAACTTGAAAGTTTGTTCAAAACCCTGCCTTGGCCTAGACATTCCACTTCCAATCCCTAGGATTTCATTCTATTGAAAGTGGTATGGAGGGCTCAGAGGTAGACCCAAACGGCTTCTCAAAGCCCCTCCCTGCCCCTACCCACCACCCTCCAGGAGAACACACACTCTTACAGATGGTCCTGGCCAGAAGGGTCTCTTTCATCCATTTAGCGCTTATTCTACCTGCTCACAGGTTTCTGCACAGGCAAAAGCCAGAGAAGCTTCCTCGCTTTCTGGATGGGCTGCTTCAAGAAATAACGAAGGTCAGCTTCCATTCTCAAAGCCACCCTCTCCCACCATACACAGGGTGGACTTGAATCACAAGTCATAAGGTTTCTCAAGGAGTAAACAGATCAGGGGACCTATAACAGCCCCATCAAGGCAACTCCCAATGCTTGAAACACACAAAAGTTAAAAAATCTTGTTATGGAAAAAAAAAATACCCAAAGAAGTAAAAACAAAACAAAACAAGAGTTGAACACCAATAGCCAACCAGGCATGGTGGCTCATGACTGCAATCCCAGCACTTTGGAAAGCCAAGGAAGGACAACTGCTTGAGGCCAGGAGTTCAAGACCAGCCTGGTAGTTCCAGCTTGGAAGGCTGAGGCAGCAAGATTATCTGAGCCCAGCAGGTCGAGGCTGTGGTGGCTGTTGAGTGTGCCACTGCACTCCAGTCTGGGCAACTGAGTGAGACTCCAACTCAAGAAAAGCAAAAAAACAAAAACAAACTCAGGAGAGATTCCCAGGACGCTAGGGTAAAACTGAACAGAAGCAGTTCCTATTCTTCCTGAACTACCCAAGCTGGCTCCTCCCTGGAAAGAACCTCTGATTCCAGACCTGAAGTAGTTTCTTCAGATCTCTGCCCCATGTCACCACCTCCAGGAAGCCCTCCCCAACCATACTATCTAAAATAGCTCTTCTTCCCCTCACTCACAGTTGTCACCATTTGACATTATGTGGTTATTTCCTGACCACCCAACCACAATACAAGCACTTCGAGCCCTTCCACTGATGTATCCTTAGGCTCGAAGAGCACTGGGCATGAACTGAGTGTACAAACAAATAAATTGGCAATTGCCCAGTAAATATTAGATTCAGTTTCATTTTGAGGATGAGATCTGAAGGTCCACGGGAGAGAAGTGACTTGCTCAAGGTCACAGCCTGCCAGCAGCAGAGCTAGGACAAGAGCAAGATGCTGAGAAAAACTGGTGAATGGATAAACAAAACGTGGTACATCCATTCAACGGAACATGCAGCCACAGAAGGAAATAGAGTACTGATTCATGCCAAAACACGATAACCCTCCAAAAACTACACTCGGGGAGAGAAGTCAGGACCAGGAGACCTCATTCTGTGTAATTCCATTTCTACGAGATGTTCAAAAGAGTGACATTTAGAGACAGAAAAGTGGATTAGTGGTTGCCTGGACTGGGGGCGTGGGAACGGGAAGTGACAGCAGATGGGCAGAAGAGATCTTTTAGGGGTGACGAAATGTCCTCAAATTAGATGTGGCAAACTCACTATTAACTCACTGTAAATCACTATAAACTTATCTAAAATCACTTAAAGTGTTATCACATGAAAATTTACCTTAGGCTAGGCACAGTGGCTCACGCCTATAATCCCAGCACTTTGAGAGGCCAAGGCAGAAGGACTGCTTGAACCCAGGGGTTCAAGACCAACCTGGGCAACATGGCGAGACCTCGTCCCTATAATAAAAAAAATTAGCCGGGCACATGGCACATACCTGTAATTCCAGCTACTTGGGAGGCTATGGTAGAAGGATCGACTGAGCCCAGCAGGCTGAGGCTACAGTGGCCATGAGCATACCACTGCACACCAGCCTGGGTGACAGAGTGACTCTGATTCAAAAAAAAAAAGAGAAGGAAAAGAAAAATTATACCTTAGTAAAATTGCTAAAGAGTAATTTTTAAAAGGAAGAAAAAGGTGCTAAGAGAGTCCAGCAGAGGCAGTTTGTGAGCATCACTTCCCCTCCAGCTGTGCAGCTCTCAGAGCTCACATCTGGTCCATTAATGCACCTGCAGGTGGAACCACTCCAGCTCCCAAAAACCCACCCCCCTCTTGAGTGCTGCCCTGCCCTACCTTGCCTCACCCTCCGGGGCAAAAGCAGAGCCATCTGGAGTGCTCAGGGCACCCAGGGCAGATAACTGCAGTCTGTGGCAACAAGGAGTTCCTGATTTTATAGGACCAGGCTGTAGTGACAACAGGCCTGTATAAACAGGCGCAGCTGAGGGGTCGGAGCTACAACAGGGGCCAGAGTTGGGTTGAGTCCATGGGAAGCCATGAGGATGTCTCAGCCAGATCCTAACTGGGGGCCTGTACCATACACCTCGCTGAGT